TAATATTCTAATTTATATCGAAAACAAACTAATTTCGAAAAAGGCTTTTCTACCCTTTCTGCAATTGTGCCAAGATTGTTTTTCCTACGGAGTGGTTGTAATTTATACGTAGATTGTAATCATGAATCTCTCGAAACTGGCACAATAAAAGCGCATTTAGAAAACTAACATTCCACGATTTGTTTTATCCAGTAAAATTGCTGACTCTGCTATCCCAACATTCGATTTTTCCGCAATTTTCTCAACGACAAAGCTTGTGCCAAAGTTCTCATTGCTACACAATTATAGTATTTTTAACATAGATTTTAGATATAAAACTTTTGAAACTGGCACAAAAGATGGCTCTGCGGGAATTAATAATAACCGAACTACGAAAAACTATATTAATATTCTAATTTATATCGAAAACAAACTAATTTCGAAAAAGGCTTTTCTACCCTTTCTGCAATTGTGCCAAGATTGTTTTCCTACGGAGTGGTTGTAATTTATACGTAGATTTTGACCATGAATCTCTCGAAACTGGCACAATAAAAGCGCATTTAGAAAACTAACATTCCACGATTTGTTTTATCCGGTGAAATTGCTGACTCCGCTATCCCAACATTCGATTTTTCCGCAATTTTCTCAACGACAAAGCTTGTGCCAAAGTTCTCATTGCTACAGAATTATAGTATTTTTAACGTAGATTTTAGATATAAAACTTTTGAAACTGGCACAAAAGATGGCTCTGCGGGATTTAATATTAATTGGACTACGAAAAACTATATTAATATTCTAATTTATATCGAGAACAAACTAATTTTGAAAAAGGCTTTTCTACCCTTTCTGCAATTGTGCCAAGATTGTTTTTCCTACGGAGTGGTTGTAATTCATACGTAGATTGTAATCATGAATCTCTCGAAACTGGCACAATAAAAGCGCATTTAGAAAACTAACATTCCACGATTTGTTTTATCCGGTAAAATTGCTGACTCAGCTATCCCAACATTCGATTTTTCCGCAATTTTCTCAACTACAAAGCTTGTGCCAAAGCTATCGTTGCTACAGAACTATAGCATTGTTAACGTAGATTTAAGTTATAAAACTTTCGAGACTGGCACGTAAGATGGCTCTGCGAGAATTAATATTAATTGGACTACGAAAAACTAAATTAATATTCTAATTTATATCGAAAACAAACTAATTTCGAAAATAGCTTTTCTACCCTTTCTGCAATTGTGCCAATATTGTTTTTTCTACGTAATGGTTGTATTTTATACGTATATTTTGACCATGAAACTCTCGAAACTGGCATAATAAAAGCGCATTTAGAAAACTAACATTCCACGATTTGTTTTATCCGGTAAAATTGCTGACTCAGCTATCCCAACATTCGATTTTTCCGCAATTTTCTCAACGACAAAGCTTGTGCCAAAGCTCTCGTTGCTACAGAACTATAGTATTTATAACGTAGATTTTAGATATAAAACTTTTGAAACTGGTATAAAAAATGGCTCTGCTGGAATTAATAATAACAGGACTACGAAAAACTATATTAATATTCTAATTTATATCGAAATCAAACTAATTTCGAAAATGGCTTTTCTACCCTTTCTGCAATTGTGCCAAGATTGTTTTCCAACGGAGTGGTTGTATTTTATACGTAGATTTTAATCATGAAACTCTCGAAACTGGCACAATAAAAGCGCATTTAGAAAACTAACATTCCACGATTTGTTTTATCCGGTAAAATTGCTGACTCAGCTATCCCAACATTCGATTTTTCCGCAATTTTCTCAACGACAAAGCTTGTGCCAAAGCTCTCGTTGCTACAGAACTATAGTATTTATAACGTAGATTTTAGATATAAAACTTTTGAAACTGGTATAAAAAATGGCTCTGCTGGAATTAATAATAACAGGACTACGAAAAACTATATTAATATTCTAATTTATATCGAAATCAAACTAATTTCGAAAATGGCTTTTCTACCCTTTCTGCAATTGTGCCAAGATTGTTTTCCAACGGAGTGGTTGTATTTTATACGTAGATTTTAATCATGAAACTCTCGAAACTGGCACAATAAAAGCGCATTTAGAAAACTAACATTCCACGATTTGTTTTATCCGGTAAAATTGCTGACTCAGCTATCCCAACATTCGATTTTTCCGCAATTTTCTCAACTACAAAGCTTGTGCCAAAGCTATCGTTGCTACAGAACTATAGCATTGTTAACGTAGATTTAAGTTATAAAACTTTCGAGACTGGCACGTAAGATGGCTCTGCGAGAATTAATATTAATTGGACTACGAAAAACTAAATTAATATTCTAATTTATATCGAAAACAAACTAATTTCGAAAATAGCTTTTCTACCCTTTCTGCAATTGTGCCAATATTGTTTTTTCTACGTAATGGTTGTATTTTATACGTATATTTTGACCATGAAACTCTCGAAACTGGCATAATAAAAGCGCATTTAGAAAACTAACATTCCACGATTTGTTTTATCCGGTAAAATTGCTGACTCAGCTATCCCAACATTCGATTTTTCCGCAATTTTCTCAACGACAAAGCTTGTGCCAAAGTTCTCATTGCTACAGAATTATAGTCTTTTTAACGTAGATTTTAGATATAAAACTTTTGAAACTGGCACAAAAGATGGCTATGCGGGATTTAATATTAATTGGACTACGAAAAACTATATTAATATTCTAATTTATATCGAGAACAAACTAATTTCGAAAAAGGCTTTTCCTCCCTTTCTGCAATTGTGCCAATATTGTCTTTTCTATGGAGTGGTTGTATTTTATATGTAGATTTTGAACATGAAAATCTCGAAACTGCACAATAGCCGAATTCATATTAGAGACGGGAAACTCATCTCAGACAGGAAACTCATCTAATATGAATCCAGGCGCAGACGAGTTTCCAGTCCAAACTTTCCCGTCTAACTTACCCGTCTAAACAGACGGGAAAGTTAGACGGGAAACCCGTCTTAAATTCGAATGTAGACGGATAAATAAGACGAGTTTCTCATCGCCAACACACTGTCAAAAACTGGAACTAGGGCAAGGGAGACAAACAAAATGGCGGCCAAAACGAAAGCAAGTAAGCAAATTCAAGCGAGAAATACTACTTCGAAACAAACAAAAAACAAGGTATGGAGTGAAGACTAAGTTATCACATATGCAAACGTGCTTTGTTCAACAGATAACGCAGAGCGGTCGTGGTTATACCAGACGAGAATTATGCATTAAAAAATTCTGCAAACGAAGAGTTGTTTCGACGTATAAAAGAGGACTTTGATATTACGATGCGTTACGATTCCGGTGATGAAACATTTACCATTGAACAATTACGTGCAAAGTTCAAGTGGTTCAAAAAACAATGGAGAATAATTGATTCCAAGATAAAGAATGGAACTGGCCTAGGAGGAAAAAACACAGCTGTACCAACCTGGTACAATATCATGAATGCTCATTTTTGCGAAGCAGTTGACGACATGACATCAGTTTCCAGCAAAGCAAGTGATGTAGATACCACCTTTGATTCCACTGATTCAGAAAACCACTTTAATCCTGAATCAAGTGACGAAAGCGATTCTTTGAGTGAAAGCGATCCTTTGAGTCGAGCTTTGAGTGACAAGAAAAGGTATAAATCAGCAGGTAAAAAGCGGACCCTAAGTACATCATCTCAAGGGCAAAGTGCTGGCGAGTCTGAGACTATCACAGACAAAATTGAGGTAGAACAAGGCGAAAAAAACACAGACAAAAGTGAGAAAAAAAGCCCTACAAAAAAGACAAAAATTAGAGTACATCCCAAGAAATTATTTTCAAAGCCAAGATCGCAAAGTGAAGACATGGTACAAGTAGCAAAGAGCATTGAATCAAGTACTAAAGAGCAAGAGAAAAATAGAGATGAGCGATTAAAGATTTTATTAGACGCAGAAAGAAAGAGGGATGAACTATTTTATGCACACCAAAGGGAACAAGCAGAGGCAAACAGGAGACATGAGATGCTTTTGGCTCAACTACTTACAAGAGGATCAACAACTCCATATCAACCACAGGTCCAAAATCATCTTCAGATGGCCCACTCTTTCAATACTCCTGTAAGTAATGGTTATAGCCTAGCAGGAAATCAGCAACCTGACTCACATGGTTCAATTAACATACCTAATTCTTCTGCTACATCTAAGCCTGGGGACAATGACTCATATTCTCTGTATAAATTTTAATTTATTTTAGAACATTGACTTTGATAACTAAAGAACGTTTGTTGAGTAAGTAATGTTGAGTTGGTTTAGTACCTATTTTTTAGGGGTTTTGATTGGTTGTGTTTCAATAAGATATTTTCATATTGAGGGAGTGAATATTATTCAAAAGGGGAGGGGGGCAAAAAATTACCATTACCATTGAGGGGGGGGGGGATTTTATATTTTGAACTTTCCTTCCCATTGTGAAATTGGTTTGAACATTTTGAACACTTCATAATATTATCTAATTCAAGCCTTCCAATTCAACCATGAAATAATAGCTTTCTGCATTTTATAACTCTTTGTATTCACATTTATAGTTATAAAAAAAGTGCTAAAAGTAAGAAAAGCTTTTTTACTCTTGACATATCAAGGTTGCGCGAGTTTTTGCGAGGCATGGCGGATGTCTGGGGGAGGGGGGTTAACTAACTCTGACAATGCCAGACAGGGGGGGAGGGGAGGTCTGAAAATCCATTATTTGGCCGGCCATTCTTTGTGAATGTGGCATCTTAGTTAACATGTGATTGTTTGAAATGGTCAACATTCCTTTAAACATTATTACAGCTTTTCTTGACAATGAAACAAGTTTTTGAAGAACCTTCCAGGATGGGGAATAACAACACAACAATGATAATTCAGAGAGTGTTCAACACTCCTAGACATAATTTGGAGGAGCCATAGCAATGTAAACAACAATTTAGATTTAGGTTATTACAGTATGCACAATATGAGCTTAGAGTTCACTCTGATTTTAAAGACCATAACTATTCTTTGATTATGTCACGCACTTTATTACTCACAGCTTTATCTTCAGATCGCTTTGTAGGTTTGCGTATTAGTTCCAACTTTTGAATCTCCAGCTGCCAGCGAGGAAGACAAGGGTCTGCCCTTTTAATACAGATATTATGTAATGTGATACATGCCATGATTATTGCAGTTACATTCCTTCTGCGACATTCAGTTTTCTTATATATAATGCGCCATCTCCCTTTTAACATGCCATAGGCATGCTCTGAAACTACTCTTGCAGCTCTTAAATGTTTGTTAAAATTTCGGTCTTTTGTGGTATCATCAAAAGCTTTCATCAACCATGAGCGTGCTGGAAAAGCACTGTCTCCTACCGTTCCAAGTGGAATATTTCCGCAACCTGGTAAATTCATCTCACAATTAGGTAGTACATGCCCAGATTCAATTTCGTTTAAAATCAGAGAAGGTTTCAAAAGCGTGGAGTCGTGCATAGAACCTGGGGCTCCCACACCTGCCCAAAGAAACCTTTTGTTAGCTGAAATCAATCCCATATTTGTTACTGAGTATTGTTTCTTGAAACTGTAGAAATTCTTAAGATTACTGCATATATACACATGAAATCCGTCCCAAGCAGCCACGCAGGGAAAACCCCAATCCTTGAGAAAAGCCTTCAACTCATTTTTCCATTCTTCCTCAGTTGATGGTAGGGTCACATACTCATCAAAAAAGATCAGAACGATAACTCGAATAACTTCATTGAAGGTTTTACACGCTGTTGAGGTAGCAATCCCAAACAAATTGCCAACTGTTGAGAGTGAACAACCATGTAGTCTGTGTGTTGTGACCCGATATCGTTCACTTTCATTAAGCATGTCTTAGATCTGAAATAGTTTTGCGGGAACTAACACTTTCGAACACGCTGAGTTCAAATCCGAAAAGTTTCCACTCCGTAGACCCGCAGTTTTTTCACAAAAGGCTATTTCATCTTCACTAACTTCACAACAATTTTTTTCATTGTTCAACGATACGGGTCGATGACGATACACGATTATGTCACTCAAAAGGACCAATTTCTATTAAACATTCTTCCTTCTAACAAAAGATCGGTTTTGCTCGAATCATGTTAAGTTATGCAATCTTATGCGTGTTGGACATAAACAACATATCTTGTCTACAACTTTGAGAAGGTACAGATAACGCTTTCTAAAATCCTCAGTTCTAGAGATATAAAATCACAAGGACATTAATATCAAGTCTTTTAGCTATGTCACTGGCCTGAAAAATAACTCTTTTAACGCGATCAAGATATTTAAAACAAAAGTAACGCAAAGCCAACGTAACGGCAAAGACAACGCTAAAACGAAATATTGTCGAATGGTTGCAGGTAGAAGACTTACGACAGGATCAATCTTAAATAACCTTAAACTATAAGAATAAATGTTCACATCAAAGACAAAGATCAGTCACAAAGTATAAAATATGCTCTGTAAACTTACCGCGAAGTGGAGAAATGTGTGCATGAGCTGTTTATTTGATGATTTCGACGTATATAGAAGCCCTCTTTCCAATAATACTCGCTTATCGCACAGTATAACACCAACTGATGTAATAGTTCAAATGCAATGATAAGTTATCTCTTGAATTACGTCTTGGAAACCGTGTTGGAAATTTCAATGCTGATCCATTACATATAGATTACCGTTTTATATCTTTGTATAAAACATTTTGATCGCTTGTAAGGAATTATTTCTCATCCCAGAGACATAGCACAAAGACTTGACATTAACGTCCTTGTGATTTTATAGAGATAGATCCAGAACTAAGGATTTTAGAAGGAATTATCTGTACCTTCCCAAAGTTGTAGACAAGATATGTTGTTTACGTCCAACACGCATAAGATTGCATAACTCAGAATGATTCGAGCAAAACCGGTCTTTTGTTTAAAGGAAGAATGGTTAATAGAAATTGGTCCTTTTGAGTGACATAATCGTGTATCGTCATCGATCCGTGTCGTTGAACAATGAACAAATTTGTTGTGAAATTAGTGAAGATAAATAGCATTTTGTGAAAAAACTGCGGGTCTACGGAGTGGGAACTTTTCGGATTTGAAATCAGCGTGTTCGAAAGTGTTAGTTCCCGTAAAAGTATTTCAGATCTAAGACATGCTTAATGAAAATCTTTTTCTAGGCACTTTTCGAGGTCACAACATACGGACTATATATAGCACAATAGCATTCGGTCTAATATCCATGCAACGTGCAAGAACTATGTCTATGGTAAACTAAAGCAAGTCTGTATTAGTGCTATATGGGCGACGTTTTGTTGATTGTAATTAGAGTATTAAATTAAGATATCTGAAACATATTGAATTAAGATTGTTTGGGAGAGTAGTATATTCTCATGAGGCCCTATCCCTGTCTCTCGCTTTTTAGTGACTGATAGAATTAAACCCAACCGTTCAGTTCATGTTAGAATTCCCCCCATGATGCGGAAAGTCGTTGGTTAATTGTTTCAAATCATGAAACTCTCAACTCTCAAGGTCTTTGCTAGCTCTCTGATAAAACATCTGATTAACGCATTTAACTGTATATATAGAATATTCCACCCATGGCCGTGCACTTGCCGCGTTATACATAAATTAGTTAATTAATGTTACTCAGTCAACAATGGCATATTGGTTGGTCGTTTATTAAACTTTAAGATTTCTTCTCATATTTTTGGAATCATGTTGTTTGTGATTCCATTTTATGGATAAACTGTCTTGGTTTTTGTTATACTATTAAAACAAATAAATTAATGACTTTCGATGAATGAACCAAAACGGCCATGGTAAATACTTGGGCGAATTGAAGTAAAAATAGGTTTAATAGGACGGACACATCGTAACGGTAGCGCCGCGGCTACACCTGTACCGATGAACGGTCGCTCAGGGCCGTAACTAGACACGATAATTTTTTGGGGTGTGTGTATATTCATATATTTATTTTCAAATCCCCCAATTATCGCATCTAGCTAGAAGGACCATCGCTCGAGAATAACTCGAATTATCCACCACCGCCGAACGCATGCATCTCAAACCGAACGCGGTTCCGTCCAGGGCGGGCCGTTTGTATAAAATAAATTCTTAACTCCTACCTTTTAACCACTTTTTTGTTGTTAAATAGCAGTTAAATTCTATAAAGTACGCAATTTTGATTGTTTAATTAACTTTCGCACTTCATCTTTTTAATATGATATCTCAACATAATTATAAATAACTCAGTTTAGCCGTACGTCTGATTTGACATCAACCGTCTCAGTCGTAGCCTAGCAGCCTTGTAGTCGTAGCCTAGCAGCCTTGTAGTCGTAGCCTAGCAGCCTTGTAGTCGTAGCCTAGCAGCCTTGTAGTCGTAGTCTAGCAGCCTTGTAGTCGTAGCCTGACACAGTGGCGTGCTGGCAGGGGGGGCGGGGGGCCACGGCCCCCCAGCTGGCAATTCTTGGGGGGCGCAGAAATGAATACGGGACGCCGATTCCGCCGAATTTTGAAAGTGAGTGGGAAAAAACGCATTTGAAAAAATATAGTTACTTTCACCAAGAAAAAATGTGTTTATAGGTTTATAAACAGACTGAGCGCATAGGCGACAAAGTGATATATTAAATTACAGACTATTTTGTCTAACCAGCCAGTATTGCTACCTCACACGAAATCGTTCATATAGAAACATGATCATGCAGTGATCACACGCAATGTCGCATTACCGGAATATTGGTCAGGTTTCGAAGCGATCACGGGAATTATGCCCTTTTTTGCTGGTATTTATACCCTTATATTATGTACGCAATTTAGTTGTTTGCGCAAGAAACATCATGACTCATTGAGTGGTGTAAGTAATAAGACAATGCTGAAACGCGCGCCCTTTTGGCAGCCAAGCAAGGAAACCTTAAGGTGCATGGTGTACCACTGACATCGACTTGAACCGATGTGCAGATGAACTGCTCAACTTTGCAGAATCTTTTCAAAAATTGAAGTGTTCAGTGATTTTTGATGAAGACAAAGAAGAAGAGAAAGATTCTGATTTAGACTCCGGTTCTGAATCTGAAACCGAAGACCACGAAGAAGAAACCGACAGTAAGTCAAGCGAAGACGGAACTGCTGAAGAACCAAAGGACAAGGATAAACCATCATTTCTAGAAGCTCTGAGAATTTTGTTGAATCCTGATTACCACCTAGTTGATGCATTTCCAACTCTTTGTAAAGTTTACGCGATCGCAGTTGCAATTCCAATCAAACCCGCACACGTTCGTCTATGTCTCAAGAAAATTGCATTGCTAATTATGACCACTGAACGGAAGATTTTAATGTCTTTGGAAAAGGAGCAGATTATTACCGCCTTGGAGGTCTGACATCAGAATTGTCGAAGGTCTTATATGAAAATGTTTAGAAATGCTAGAAATCGGCGATCGTTATTGAAACATTAAAGACATTGGAGAACATCGATCGATCGATATGGGCAATATTTGACGTTATCAACATTCGATACAATACGTGATATATAGTACTAACTATCAAGTGATGTACTGTATAGTATTAACTCTTTTTGTATGTTTTGACAAAAACATGACAGATTCGCATCAATAAAGTGCAAGCACACTTTTTAGTAAAACATTACAAGTTATTAGTAAGATCGGCGTTTAATATAAATCAAAATATTTTATACAAATATACTCAACGAGTGATTTTATTCCTCTATAATTAATCTAAAATAAAGATTTATAGTAAAACTGATACCGTACTAATTTAAGGGCTACTACAAAATTCTAACCAAATTGCAAATTTCGACACGTTATAATCTCGTTTCCTGACCATCTGATTTCTGTCAAATCTTCCCCCAAAGTCCAGGAAATGGCATTTCAGAGACTCTAAATTTAAATTTAAAGCACGCGCTTCGTCGCACATTCGAAGCACGCGCTTCGTCGAGAGTAACGTCTGTTCGCAGACTAACATGTGTTCACCCTTATTTTAATGCTAATAATCACTTAAATTAACCATTTGCCTTATTTTGATGATAATCATCTATTATTTAAGGGAAATTCAGTTAAAATGCAATTATTTTTAAGTATTTACAACAAGACGCCTGCTCAGGCGTTCACACTGGCCTGAAAATGACACTGGACTTTCGTGGAGGGTGTAATGTGTAGTAGAGAAGTAGATTGGGATACAGGGGGTCTGGGCCATATAAATACAACCAATAAATACAATCATGATTAGCAACTATCAACCATAATATTCCAAGACGCCGGCTCAGGCGTACCCTCTGCTGCTCTGGCTACGGGCAATTCAACCTGACAAGCCAAGGCCCGCTGTAACTATGATCATCAACTATCAACCGTAAATAATGATGGGTCAATAATAGCGAATAATTTTCCTTGATTTTTAATGCCATTATATGGCTCGTTTCAGGTGCTAAAAAGTTTATAGACATAGACGATTCTTCTAAAAAATACGCCAATTTGTAAGATAAACTGATTCCAAACCCTTTACTAACCCCACTATTCTTCCCTTGGGTCTGCACGCAGGCTAACCCCAACCAGTAAACATCTAATAAACAATTTGAGAATTAAAAAGTTGGGGGAAAAGTTGGATCTTGTTCCAAAAACTAATCGAACCGTACCACGTTTTACTTTGCCGCACGCAATGTACCAGTGCTAGTGTTGGTAGTACCAATGTGA